AACAGCCCGTGATGCGCTTCTAAGACAAGCGAAGCTCACCATGAGCGGAAACTGGGAAGAGAGTGGAGAAGGATAGGACAGATGCAGAAAAGACCTGAAAGGACAGCGCCCGCTGAAGGAATGTGTGGTGCTACAAACATGACCGATGTCGGATGCGGTCGCAGAGTGGTCCACAAAAACTGCAGGGCCTTCGAGCAGTTTGCGGCTGGAAGCCGTGGCCAGCTTTGACTTGTCAACGGGTTCAAGGGAACAAGACGTGAGCTGCGAAAGCGGAGTCCACACAAATCGAAAAAAGGGCCAAGGGAAAAACTGGAGCAGGTCCCGTCCATACTCAGGGTTCACATCATGACCGCAGCATGCAGTGGCAGAGGCAAGCACGCCCCAAGCCGTCCGAATGGGATGAGATTGAAGACAGACCTGGGCTGCGCCCAATCCAGCCCACTTTGGGAGGCGGCCTGCGGCCTGCGGCCTGCATGTCCGCGGTGAGATGTACAAGGAGAGTAGCCAAAGATACGGTGCCTCGACAGGTGCACGAAAGACTCACCAAGAGCTCCAGAGTTTCAGTCGACAAAACCGCTGGGGTCGGCACGAAGGTAACATGGAAGCACGCCTGCAAAAGGCTTCGCAAGCCTGGCCTCCGAAAATGAAGTGGCTACAGTAGGGGTTGAACTGCAGGTTCAAGCGGCACCTGCCCGGCGGCTTGCGCCAGATGAACCAGCTAAGCCTAAGTGATTGCAACTCACAGCTGCAGCTTGCTTGCGAACGCATGACACCAGGAAGACTCGCTCAAGATCAACATAAAACGTCGAAGGTTGGCAGCACTCGTACTTACCGGTCAGTGTTTGCCTTTCAGCAACCATCTGAAGATCAATGGGCAACTGACGCTCCGTCACAGAAAAATAACATCAGCCACTCCTGACTCACATTGAACCCAGGATCCCGACAGAGCGTTCAGGTTCAACGCACCCGACAGTGCGACGGCGAGCAACCACAATGGCTGCATTTTCAACCTCGTGCAGACATGGGCCGAGGTCGATGATCACAAGTAACTCCCGGAGCAAACAAGCAGATTTCTTCTTGCTTTGCTCAGATCGGGGCCTGGTACGCAGCGCTGTCCAGACAGGCCTCGTCCTGGCCTCTCCAACAAGGCCTTACTGTCCATTCGAGACGCTCCATATCTCCAAATAGGTCCACTCCGCTAAGCCGGCAGCCACGCAGCAAGGTGCGCCGATCCACTTTGCCAGAAACTGGATCCTGACAGCCGGGGAGAGAATCCCACGAGGGCAAGGTGACATGCGGCACAGGGCTCAGCATCGCGCTTTGGGCAGTGGCTTGCCAAGCAAGTGCAAAGCTGCTCCAGCAGGCACCAGAGACCGTGCACAAGCCAGCATCCTGAGAATCTGGGTCTAGAGTCTACAGATGACAAACACGCAAAGAGCAGGGTCCAGCAGCATCAGGTGACGGAGGTCAGCCGGCCTGTAGGCAGAGCTGCATCTGTGGTCAAGCACCGTCACGAAGACATGCCTTAGAGCTTTCACCGACAATTCGGCAACGAAGGGATCTCGCTTCAAGCTACACAGAACTGTGCCAACCAAAACGCAACTCATGTTGTTTGCTGTGCTATCGCCTACCTAGCTGCAGTCCAAGTGCGCTGAAACTGCGCTTTCTGCGTCAGCCGGAACCACAGCGACCTCGTATGTACATTTCCGATTGTTCTTTATCCCTGCTTTTGGAGCCTGTCAATGCTGACCGATGGAAGCCATGCCGGATCATGCCGGGCCATTCTGCCTCACCTTTTGCTGACTTGAAGTTGTGTCTAAACCTGTAGAACAGCGACACGCATCTCTTGAGGTTCCTAGGTCCCAGGTCTCCTGCCTCGTCAGCAAAAACGTCGGACTCTCTTACCGTCTGCTCTGGTGGCGGCAGCATCTTCGCCTTGAGACCTGAACTGCAGAACAGAGTTTCAGTCTTTCCACCCGCCCTTTACAGACCAAACACCGAAGCTCCAGACGCTCAGAGCTTTCGAAGACCAGGCCTGGATGGCTCTGGGGCACAGGCGCAACTCCACCTCGGCGAGATCCACGAATTGGCCACCGACCTCCGCAAGTTCGACGTGGTGCCGCGAGGAACGAGTTTTCTAGCAAAATTTGGAAGGAAAGGCACGGGGCAGTGCGAACTTGACTTGGCGCTTGGGACTTGAGGGGGCATGAGCAAGCCTTGACCAGCATGTCGCTGCGCCCTCTGAACTCCAAGTGCAACGGATTCGGGCTGACGATAGTCACCTCAGTTGGCCAGACACGAGCTCTGTACGCATGGCTCGCCCTGCCACTAGACTTAGCTCGCAACGACATCCTGCGCCATAAAGAAAGATGCCTGGAAAACAACCCGTACAGTCGTCGGCACGCAAAGTATCGAGGTAACTGAGGGGCGGTCACTACCATCTGGCGGCGTTACGGTTGAAACTGCATGTGCACCCACATACCTGCCAACTCAAGCAGTTCATTTGCAGCATTCAAGCCAGGAGATGCTTCGCCTCGAAGTGACCATTGGTCCACGTAGGCAGAGCTGTCCAGTTGCACCACATTCTGTACAGAGCTTGCCGTCTTGAAGGACTGCAAGTTCAGCACCAGGCACGCAGGAATAAATTGGCCTGCCTTCTGGCGATATCTTGCCCTCACTATACACACTCAGCCAGTACTCCGTGCTGATGAGAAGCTCAATGACACGACGTTGCTCCGATCTCCATTGTGCCGCCAGCACGGGCGACATGGACTCACCCCAGCAAAACACGTGACGAACAGTTGGAACAGCTTGTGGGTTGATAGATTGCAGTGCAGATGGGACTGTGCCCAAAATAGTCGCGCCATGCCTTGAAATGGAGTCCTGATCCATGCCAGCAATGCATATCGAAGCCCCAACACTGACTGCAATATTGATTTGGCCAATGGCGCTGGCAGCCCACAATACAGGAGTATGCTGCAACACACGATCCTGCGAACTCAGGTCTTTGAAAACCTTTGCGTATGTTGCGAACTCGTGCAGTGCCATCTCGTGTGACACACGCACACATTTTGATGATCCAGTCGTGCCGCCGGTCAGCTGATAACATAAGGCTGGGAGGTCACTTCTGTCGGTGTTCCGTGGCACTGTTTCGATGTCTTCGCACACATCTGCCTGTAGAGCCTCCAAAGCCAGGATGCGAGGCTTCTCCATCTGCTGCCAATCTGGAATCACTTCTGGAGCAGCAGCTGGGTCTAGCAAGAGAAGCTTAGGATGCAACAGCTGCATGATGTGATCGTTTCGCTGTCTTTCTGCGTAGCGACCTTTGGCTGGAAGCTCCCCAGCTCCCATCCACACAAACGGCAGGTTGCATCGCATCACCCCGAGGGTCGCAGCTAACCACCACGGTGAGCGATGTGCGAGAATTGCAACGACCTCGATAGCTCTGCCGCACTTTTTAGCAGCTCTGCACTCTGCAATGATGTGCTTCTCTGCGAGATGCGACTTCTGGCACAGCTCTTCCCACGTCCAAGATACACCACTCCCGCATACTGCGATGTGAGTAGGCAGAAACGATGCCCAATGATCGAATGCATCGACAAAACTTGACGAGATTCCAGACGTTTGTGCCCGCTGCAGGGACATCGGCAAAGCCCTGACCTCTCGACAAAAAGTATGGGGCCTGTGAGGAGTAAGCGCAAACCTGATCCAAAAAACTTGTGTACCACATGCTAACTCAATTCGCATGATATGTTTCTGCAACTATGCATACACGCACTGGATACAGTTTATGGTGGGCTCTCCGACAGTGTTTGCGGCTTGAGCAAACCGTGAAACTTCCATGGCATGTCCTTGCAATTACTCTCGTTCCTCGTCAAAGGCAACTGAAAACCCAGAGCATAAGCTGCAAATGGTGGAAGGGCACCCAGCGTTCATAAAGGCACACCACCTTGCTGCACGTGTGTTTAGTGGCACATGCCGTGAACTGTTAAACTGCTAATTTACCGGACCTACTACAAACCCAGAGGTCTGTGTCAACCCACTTCATCATGGGTACTAAACAACACCCCGGGCAATTTACTCTGCACCTACACAAGCTTGGCAGGGAACCGTCAAGGCTTCGGGCTTTCGTACCTCTCAGAGGCCAAGCCAGTCCCCAAGCAGAAGGCTTGTCGTGATTGCTAGGCACTGCTTCGTTCGGCAGTGCGGGTGATTGGGTGACCGTCTAAAACGTGGTTTGGGTCGGGTCTTACTTGGCATTTTTTGGGGCTGTCCCCAAGAATGCGCTCCGGATTTATGGTGTCTGCCTTTCCGTTTCTGCTGCTGTTCACTTTTAGTTCAATAAAGGTGCGTGCAAGTCAAACTCACACCTAGCAGCACCTGTGTCAAGTAAACTAAGGCAGGAACACGAATTCCAAAATCCAAACGAAAGATCGGCATGTAAATTGATATATGTCCGAAAATCCATCCTAAATATATGTCTGAAGAATTCACTTTCACATGCAGCTCATTACAAACTGACATGTGACGTGCCTGACATGACTGAAGAGCACACTCGTGTGTTTTGATCATCTGATCGGGACGGAATTCCCATTCGGCGAAGTGCACAAGGAAGCCAGCCGTAGCGCTTTAAGCGAAAACGGCGAAACCCAAGGCTTACGTTTGCAAAACACCATGGGAGGGTGGGAGCTTCGAAATTCTCACCACTTGACCGTGCGGCTGCTATGCAATTCACATGATTCTCATGTTGAAAAAGCTGGGAAACTTCGTTAAGCAGGGGGAAAATGCATGCCGGTAAAATGTTCGAGAACGGGCTTTCCTAAGGGGTTCCTATGCAAACGCGACGGTCCACAGTGTTCCTTGTGGTCGCACTGTCGGACGGTCTCTAAGAAAAGAAAAGGAACGAGACTTCGTGTACCCAACGGACATGAGCCAGAAGTACAAGTACTACACGGAGGATGAAAAGAGTTGGAGGCGGTCCAACGACAGGAACAAAGGAGTTTTGGCACTGGGACTACCCCTACAAGCACAAGAAAGGAAAAGGAAAGGACCAGTACAAATGAAAGAGAGAGAAGAAGGACAAGAAGAAGGACAAAGGGGGAAAAGAAGAGGAAAAGCAGGAAAGGAAAGTCAACTTCGAGCCCAGAGACGAGGAAGACAGACAGTACTGGGAGCGAATGGGAAAGATTGAGGAAGAGAGGAGGCAGAAAACAGCAGAATACACAGGCTTTGAAACTTTAAACGGATTTTATGCTTCCTGCGGGGATTTAAGGTTTAGCGTTTCGAGGTTCAGGGTTTAATTAAGGTTGAAAAAAGATTTCGGATTCATTTCAATGAGCATAATCTGACAAATTCAGATTAGATCTCGACATCTACACAGAACGGTCTATATCAGAACAGCTTCATAACTAGGATGATAACTATATGCAAAGACCACATAAACGATCCTGAATTATTCCGATATGCTAGTTATAGGAAGACTTGACGATTAATGCAACCTTGTTTCTTGCAGCGGGATTGCTCCTGCGTAATCCGGGTAAATGATATGTGGAGCTTGAAAGCAGATCTGTGCCGACGTTTCCATGAGATCTGTCCAAGATCTTGTTCTGGGAAATAAGAAGCTGTCTATGAATATGGAAAATAGTCTTCCAGCAGATCCGGTAGCCTATATCATGTTTTTATTAGAACAATTTTCCTTTATTATCATTACTTCCAACTATTATTGCCGAATACCCGAGTCAAAATATTTGCGAAAAAGGAATGGCCAAACAAGTCTATTCAAAAAATACATATATATATATAAATACATGAATGATAGAAACAATAAGCAGAGTGGGGGCCGGTGGCATCATGACTAGTACAAGAATCATTCTCGAGAATACAAAATGCTACTAATGCTGCTACCAATGCTATCCCTGATATGGCTTAATGTTGAATGTGTGCACAACTACTCTCATCTCTTATACTGCCAATTATGATATAATCTGTATCTATTCTAGCGAAGTCGGACGAAAAATATCTCCGCACGATATGGAGTGAGCCCTTCGTTCCAAGATATGCTCGTAATGAGAGCTTTTTTTCAAAGCATCCGGTATAAGGTTAAATAAATCTACTAAGAGGAGATAGAAAAGAATAAATCGAATCAGACCATTTCAAATTATCGGGTGGCAAAGATTTTGGACCAAGTCCGGGCAACAATACCTTTGCCTTAGAAAACACAAATCCAGCTTATCCGGGAAGACCCAGATATTAAAAACCTATACGAAATTAATGTTTTTTGTTGATATTCCCCATATTTATATTTGATTCATTCATATAGTTGTTCTAAAACTGAAATCTCAAAACTCAACAACTATATACTTTATGACATTCACATGTATATATACATCATATAAATGTTAATATCTAAAAATTGCATAAGTATCTGAAACCAAGAAAAAGAAGTAAAATGAATTTCAATCTATAAAATCTTAGATTGATCGTTGAAGAACTTATTAATTACAAATATATATTAGAAAATAAAAATATATATCTAGTGAGAATATAGTAATTCGGAATGAATACATATATATATATATATACATACATATATGTATATTTATATTACAAAACAAAAACAACTCGGAAAAGCCGCAATAATCCAAAATCAAAACACTTTTATGCAGATATTTCATTTTTAATACATACGTCTTATTCTTGCTGCCGCTGCTGAATTATTGATGGGAGACGTGCAAAGCGGGAATTTAATTCATTCTATATGTAAATATGTTACGTAGCTAAAATAGTAATTATAGAACTCGACATGATATTTAAAAATATCTCGGAAAAGCCGCAATAATCCAAAATCAAAATAATTTTCTACAAAACTTTCATTTTAAAAAATTTAAATAAGTCTTGTTAAAGCGGGAATTTAATTCGTTATGTGTATATATATATATATATGTTACCCATATAAAATAATATTTATAGAATTCGAAATCATATTTCTGAGTTTTCTCTAGGCTCGATCGTGTATTAAAGCAATCATCTTATGTCCCGCTCTACTTAGGATTATCACGACCCCTCGATGTAGATCATATCCGTTACTACTATTCCATGATTGTAAACAGGAAATCCATCAAAGAACATCTCAGGCAACTTTACATGAGCTTCTGATTAGATATTCGAGCAGATAAAAAATATAATTATCAGAACTATTGTTAAGTTATATGTAAATACAATATCGCATAAATGTAATTATATTGTGAAATATTTAAAGGTTACGACCCAACAATTTTAGAAATATAGAATTATAATAACTTGTAATATTTCTACAGATGTATATTATTTCATATAAATTAAATCATTAACGCTAAACCAAGATCTCGCTTCAATTTTAATATATAGATCTAAATATATTTTAATTTCATAGTATATATATATATATACATCAAATTAAATGACTTACAAGTTTTATTTATTTTCAGAGATATTCTCTTACCCTCAATATTGTATTTAATTTACTTATCCGCCGACCCCCGTTAAGGCGGAGCCTGTGACATCCGAATGGTTTTTGTTTTTTCCGAGACTCTGCTCTTGCTCTTCCCGTGAAGAAGCATTTATACAGGCTTGAAAGTTGGCCACACCGCCCCCCCCCCCCGCCGCCCTCACCGCGCTCGCCCCGCCTCCAGGTCCTTAAGGAAGTATTTGTGTCCTCACCGCTCCCTGAGCGCTTGGCTCGGGCCCCCCCGCCCGAGGATCATTTCCTCCCCTGGCCAACGGGCGTTGCCGGGAAGCTTCCTTCCCAACCAGGTCCCGCGTGGCCCGATTGGCTTCCGCTCCATGGCTGAAGCCAGAGTTGCCCGATTCAGAGGCTTCCAATCGTGCCCAAACCCCCTCCGCCCACACCGCCCAACGTCTTCGAGTCATGGTTCGTACACATTGTCTCCAGTTTAGGGGTCGGCGGCACTGGCGGCAGTCATTAAATCGGGCAGCGCCGGTCCAATTGGAGCGAGCGCGTGCGTGCTGTCAGCCCGTGGGTAGCCACCAAAAGGCGCGCATCATGAGCATCAGCGGCCCTAGTCCGGGATCCGGAGCGCGCATCATCAGCATCAGTGCGGCCCTGGGGACACGGGGGAGAGGGGGGAGAAGGTCCCCCGTTTTTGTCAAATGTTGTTCTAAATCGTTTGCGGTTTGGTGGGCGCAGCCCCTAGAATCTGCCTTGCTAGCTTTGC